TTGCCATTGCTGCAGTGGAGATAAGCTGGGGTCGCAGGACAGTCCCTACAACAAGAGCTGCTGCAGAGTGACTGCCGGGGATGGAGATGGAGTAGAGTCACTCGGGTCCTGCTGTAGGACAGGCAGAGGTGCTGTGATACTCTCATCTGGTGCTGCCCCGTACCCCAGTTTGTCAACACCCAACCCCAGGCAGCTTCGAGGGACTGGCTTTTCAGAAAAGGTATTCACTGGTGGAGATTAAGCCTCTTTAAAGTAGGAGTCAAACACAATAAGAACACAGACAGTTGCTGAAGATCTGGATGTGTTTTACATGAGGTCAAAAAAGAAGGAAAGAAAAGTGCAAGGACACTGCAAGGACAGTCTCATACCCCTTCCATGTGCCCAAGGCCTTGCACTACCTAAGGAGACAGAAGGGAGAAGGTGCAAGGGGATGTGTGCGAGGAGAGAAATGGAAAAGTGTCTGTCCGGGTGAAACAAACACCAGCACTTGCTGTGGGGGCATTTCGGAGACTGGGGACCCAAGCAATTTCTTTCTTAAGCCAGTCAGGGCTCCTCTGGTGAACGACCTCTCTTGTTTTAATGGACGGTTTTGTTTGTGGCATTATCTTCAATTCACTAAGCTCCTCGCTGCTTTTCACCTATCCTCAGTGGTTAACCACCTCCCTCTTCTCAAGAGTGCCCCAGAGTGACAGTGGGACAGAGGCTGGGGCAGCAGGGGGATGGGGACCAGGTGTTTGAAGAGCAGGGATATGCAAGAAATGCTGGAGGCAGCAGATGTCCGTGTCCAGGCCTTTTGTTCCCTCATACTCGCCACCCTGAGTTCTGGGACCACCTTTTTGTTTTTCTCTCCCCATTGTCATTCACACAGGAGGGGCTTCTCAGGAGTTAGCCTCACAGAGTCTCATCTCTCTCTCTCTCTGCACCCCACTGCCCCAAGAAACAGTTGATTGCCCTTATACTCTGGTTTCTATTTAGATCACTTTCTATTAACATTTAAAAAACCCTGACAGAGTTAATGCAGAACACTGAAAATCAGCCAGTGTCTTACAGGCCTGGTTAGTCACAATGACTTGACTTGCCACTCCCCTTAGCCGGACCATTTTTAATCCTCGTTAAGAGAAAGAACAGGCAGAACGCACACCTCCTTTGCTTTAGTGAGAATGTGACCCCAGACAGGGATGGCACCCTGCACAGTTTAAGGTAAATTGAGTGAAAAGCACCGGTGCCTATTGCACAGTGTATTATTTTAGCCACTGTCAAGGAAAATAACACTTCTGTCCTATATTTGAAAGTACCAAGAAATTAAAGAGGTGGATCTGGTGCAGCATGCAAAGCCACAGCCCAGTCCCCTGAGAACTCTGGGGATGTCCTGTTTTCTGCTGACTCAGCTCAGAAATGGCTGGCAGGAGCATGGAGTGCCATGGTGCCTCCTCAGGAGGGACCTGGCAGCTGGGGCTGCCCAGCAAAAGGATTGAGCCTTTACAGTTGGTCACAAACATTCTACCTTGAACTTGCAGTGCAACCTCCCTCCTGCACGTGGCCTTCTGCATCATGCAGTCATCCTGGGAACCTGCCAGACCAAAATCTGCAATGTGCACACATGCTCTCTCCCTCCCCCTTATCTGCGTGTAAAAACATCCGAAATCCCACTGCTGGCTGAGCTGGATGGAGCTGCGCATTCACCTTGCTGCTACCAGCATGGCTACAAAAGGTGCAAGTAGTAAATATGCAAATCCTCGGGGAGGAAAACCTCAGTGCTGGATGCACAGGCTACACGTACACTACAGGAGAACTCCCTAGTCTCTCCTAAACCCTGGCTGGCAAGGACAGCAATAGGTTTGCATTGACGATCACTGCATTTTCCTTGCACGGAACTAAAAATCTGCCGGCCCAGGCGGCTCAGCTTGCCTTCCCTCCTGCTCCCTGCTGCTTCATTTCTCTCAACCCTGCTGTGAAGTGTGCAGAGCCAAGTGCCATCCTCACTGTCGCCAGCCCCAGCACAGCTGGGACTCGCTATTCAAAAGACAGAGGGTGCCTCTATAGGGTAGTTAAATACTATAGGGTAGTTAAATGCCCTATTTAGTTCTCAATCTGGATCCATCATCTTGCTTGGGCAAAGTGGGAGTGAACTCAATCTAGAACTGAATGGCGCCAGCTTTCATGAACTATTGGGACACTTAAGGCCCAATCCATCAAGACACTGGGTGCCTTTGACTTCAAATGCAGTTAGCTGCTACCCAGAAGGACAAGGACTAGAATTCCCAGTAAGACAGTTTGACTCTGTAATGACTTACAAATGACAGAGAAAACACCCTTCATCCCTTTGCTAGTACCTCAAATACACAACTCCAGTGCATCTGGCAGAAAACAAGCCATAGCCCATCAGTGTACATTATAACCTCCAGTAATTTATTTTCATTCTTTAATTGTAGTAATATTAAAAATTAGCATCAAAATTTATATATACAGGTTTAATGTGCAAGACAACCAGTACAATCACACATACAAGTAAAACCCTTCACATACTCTTTTACAGGCAACACATGAAATACTGTAGAAAGGTGCAAATATTTTGGTAGAGATATCTGGGGTTTCTTCAAGAAGAAAACGTACACAAGTAAGAGCACTACAGATGCACCATTTAAGTAAACAACCTTCATTCAAAAGAAACAAGGAAGTTACTTGCATGGGAAGCTAACCATGCATTTCACAGTACTTTAAAGCCACTCCTAATCATAACATTTATGTCATTATTAGTGAGTTGATTTCACCAAATCCTGAGTTATTTAAGGTACTGAACCAGCAAAGCCTTCACACACATAATTCACATTTCTGTGGGCCAAGATTCTGTATGCTTGAGGAAAAAGACTTCCTAACAACAGACACCTGTAAGAAAGATTCAGTTCCCCTACCTGTTCTTCAGCATGGATTTGTAGACCTAAGTACTGTGATAATTTTCTGCTCAGGAGTGAATATTACCCATTTAGAGGTCAGGAGTTCAGCCCTCAATATGCACAAAATTCAGCCTTCTCTATTATACTGCCTAGTGCTGGGCCTCAATATTTTACTTATAAGTAAGTGGTTCAATAAATATTGTAAAAATATTTTTACTATGAAGACAATGAGGACAGAGCCTATCAAGTACAATAAAACTTACAAAAATTAGTGCAAATCAATATATTTATGGATAGAATATCTGAATGATATAAGTAAATGTACGGGTAACATTTTTTTCAAGTTCTATTCTGTATTTGGCACAAAATAAAAACTTTTCTTATACTTTATGTGCAAAATCCTTATTAATATGAGCTGATCTAGAACACTTAGAATATCATCATCCCAGTAACATCAAACTACTTGTGTTTGTCAACCAGCTCCAGCAAGGGCTTCCATTATCTCTCCTGAACGCAACACACAGACAACTCACAGGCTCTCACAGGGAGACACTCGCAAATGCACAGCCTCCTGCCAATTGTGAACAAAAACTTCTGCACTAATTACAGCACTCCCTATACTCAGTGGTCCTTCAGCACAGGCTTTTTGATAAGCCTCCTAGTTGATATTTCACATTGACATGGAATATCATTCTTAACAATTTTGAAAATACATAAACTTGAACAAATAACTCCTGACTTTGTTGTATGGTCAGTGAGAAATGGAGGATGACACCTTCTAGTCCTCCCATGGAGGCAAAGGCTTTCCTGTAGTCTGGGGGAGGAATTTCACAAGAGTTTTAGGCTCTTAGGAGTCTTGGCATCACATATTCTATAGTTTAAGATTTTGAGCAGAGGAAGGGAGTGCCACTACAGCAGTCATCCAGTGTAGAGCCAGGAAGAAGCAGAAGAGCCCACCCTTCATATCAGGACTCACCACAAAAACCCATCTGGCCTGGACCAGACAGGTTGAATGATATTCAGAAAGAAGAGTGACTGTGCCTGCAGGATCCTGGCCTGTGCTAAGACCACAATGAAATGCCTCAGTGAGGCCACCTGACTGCTTATGATCCAACTTGAGAGCTCACTGGTGTTTCTTCATGTTTGGTCTTCTAAATTCTGAGAAGGCAGAGCTTCACTGCCTCTGCTGGCTGGCATGTCAGGCCTGCACATCTCACCACACCCTGATTCTCTCTCTCTAGGCTAACCAGAATCCTCTGGAAGAGTTAATCTTCACAGTCCTGGAGCTCTCCATATCCCAGCAGCTGAATGAAGAAATTGAAATACCTCTATGTTGGTCCAGCAGTCAGTATCTCTGAGCCAGTTCACATTTAAATAGAACAACATTAGAAAACTTACAGCATAAGGGAAAATAGACCCCATACCTGTGGTCATTGGTCCAAACAAAACAGGTTAAATCAGCTTTGAGAAATGCACTTGATACAAACATCCCTCACACAAGTTTCAATATGGACTACACCAGGAAGTCCACAGCCATGGTGCATTACAGACGCAGAAACACTCCTCACAGTGATCTTTGTGCACAAAAGGTTTTGGGGAGTGTCATGGTTTGAGATAGCCCCAAAATCCAATCCCCTAGTCTAAGCCCCCTCCCACATCTCAACCTAATGTGAGATGGGTTTTTCCAGACAAAACACACCAGACTCCAAATGGGGAAAGGGAATATATTACAATGACTGTACAAATAAATACCATATCACATTATACACACGATCACAATATCTCAAACCATGACAGGAGGTAAAATGCCCTCCCGCCTGTTAAAATTAGGGTATGGGAGGAGAGGAAAGGACAGGTTGAGTAACTAATATTCCACTTCACCACAGTGTGGCATCAGGGTGTACCCAAAAAACTCCTGTCCCCTGGGCTCAGTCATATGCCTTGGGTCCAGAGACTGTACCTACCTCAAGAGTCACTGCACGGGTGAATGTCACCTCCCGTGGTGTGCACACAACCATGGACAAACAGATACACACACATTGATACGCACACAAGCTGGTCCAGGACAAACCCACAGGGTTCCCAACTAATGAACAGTGTGGATCTTCATGTGGAAGTTGTAATCCTCCTGCTCAGAGAAGTGCTGGCCGCACGCTGGGCACTGTGCAGCCCTTCTCCTGTGCAGCCCTTCTCCTTGCTGTGCGTGCGCCGCACGTGGCTGTCGTGGGCTGCATGTGAGGCAAAGGCTTTGCCGCAGTGCTTGCACTTGAAGGGCTTCTCCCCTGAGTGCTGGCGGATGTGAGTGCGCAGGATGCTGGATGCCGTGAATGCCTGAAGGGGCACAGATCAGAAAGGGGATGGAGTTGGAAGGAATTTGTTTTCACATATGTAATATCCACCTTCAGCTAACCCAGATCCTACCAGAAGCCACGTGACCTGAAAATTAAGTCTTGAAATAGCTCACATCCTCAGATAATTGGAAAAAAAAAATCAAAAAACCCACAGCAATGAGGAATCAGAAGCCAATAGCTATTGTTATATAGATGTGGCTGAGTCTAGGGAGATGGAGATAGATGAAGCTCAGAGAAAGATTTCTGACCAGAGACACCAGTAAATATCTTCCTTCGTGTCAGAGGTAAGAAGTCAATACTGTCCTAATTAGCTTTGCAGCTCCTTAGTGTTTGGGAAATATAATGCAAGCTTTTCTTTCAACTTCAATTTTCTAGGTTAAACCCTTTCACTGGCTTGAGATTCAGCTGATAGAATTCATCCATGCAGTCCATCATACATCTTTTGCAGGTTCATTTTCCCTGCTCCATCATTACTCTTCCTTCAGTCAGATCTTCCAGCCAGGTCCCCCACCACTACATACACATTTGAGTAGCAAAGTGTGCACTCTCCCACTCTGTCATAAAGACTCCTCCTCCATTTGGGGATAAAACCCTCTCCCCAAAATTTGATCAGGAATGTTGCAAAGTTGCCAGTGTTTTCCCCATTTTTTCTTTTCCCAGGACACTTTCACTATTTGCAGACCACACACATTTTGCAGCAAATGGCAATACACATAAGACCCTGGAGGTATTATATCAAAGGGGTCAAACAGTGATGTTGATGCAACACTGTTCCTTTAATCTCACAGCAAAGGAGTTGGGAATGCAAAGCCACCATTAGAGGTAGAAGGGGAAAAGGGGAATCATGATTGCATAGGACAAGCAGGTGAGGATTCTTTATAACAGCTCCTGGTTTTCCAGCCTCAGAAATGATGGCTATGTCCCAGGATAGGTGCATCCTGAACTAGCAGTTTAACCTGATTCAATCCACAGAAGTCAAATGAGAACTAACTGGAGGCTGGTCAAGGGTCGCTAGAGATCTCTTTACTACAGTAGAGCTCTTTACCTGTACAGCTCTGCCACCTCCTTCTGTGATCAGGAGATAAGGGATGACATCTCATCCTAGACTCTGCCTACAAGGGTTCAGGATCTTTGGGAGACAGAAAAATCTAATACCCAAAAGGAGCATTTTCTAAGGTTCGTTACTTCAGGACGCTTCAGCTTTGTGTTAGTCTAGCCAGTCATAAACAAAATGTCTCTCTCCCAAATCAGGAGGAGCTGACAACATGCTGATGGTGTTTCTGCATTGCATGGACACTCCATAGCACCTGGAGCCCTACCAATATTCATCCAGCAGCAGCCTGTACCATCCTCTGTCTGCTGGGAGAGCTGTCACTGCTTTCACAGGGAGAGTTCACCTGAATCATCCCTGCTGTGATGGGCAGTAGCAGCCGAGCACATTTTTGATCAGTGCTGTATGGCTCTGTTTGTCTTCTTTTCCAAATGAAACCTCCATGCCCAGCTGCACACCTACAGCCCTCTTATTTCAAGGTAAGCATGCACAAATCCCAGTTTACAGACCAAATCTCTTTATGGCAATCCACAAGCAGTGTCACTAGTATCAAAAGCTACCTATCTGATGAAAAAGTGGGATATTGGATCTAGATGCATGCCTTGGATGGTATTTGAAATGCTCTCAAGCTTTCCTAGACCTTATTTCTGCAGCAGATCACTGAGCTGGGATGAACCACAAATTCCATGTCAGATGCAGACCAGATCTTGTTTCTTCAGTCTTATCCATCCCTATCACTTTAACTCACTACTGCCCAGAATATACACACTTACCAGCTTAAATACAAAGCATTTTCCTGAAAGAAAACAGAAAAGAAACAAAGGATAACAGAGGACAGATGGAGGGATGGGACAGGATGCCTTACCTTGTTGCAGTAGACACATTTGTAGGGGCGCTCCCCAGAGTGAACCCTCATATGTTTGTTCAGGCTGGAGGACTGAGAAAAGCTCTTCCCACACACAGAGCACTGGGGGCAAAAATTAAAGTGAAGCATACAACAGCATAGTTAAAAAGACAAAGCATGCATGTGGATGATGTGTGCATGTATGCTTCCATATATTTATATATATACACGTTATGTATTTAAGTATATATAAACACAATAGTAATTATAAGCAGTAACAATCTAAAATAGCCAGAATTTTAGTATGGTTTTAAGAACAGATTTATTATTATATATATAAAAAATAATGCAAAATTTTAAAACTTTTCATTGTAATAGTTTCAATAACAGACAATATTGTCTTTCAGTAATAAAAATCTGAGTATTTCTATAAAATCATCACATTTTAAAAAAAAGTAAATCAAGCTCCACTTGCTATTTTTTTCCTAAAAGATAAATTTACTAAAAAAAAAAATCTTAAATTGACGTCTTACAATAATAACCATTGTTTCAGAAATGTGGAGTCAGTAATAGAACTAGAAAGGAAAAGGGGAAAGGAAAAGGGGAAAAGGGAAGGTTTGGGAAGGTTTGGGAAGGGAAGGTTTGGGAAGGGAAGGTTTGGGAAAGGAAAGGAGAAATTAAATGGTATTTAACACTTTATATTTAATAGAATATTTTTCATCTGTTACTAATTCCACATAGATATTCTGACACTGTAATAACGCCATTTTAGTTATAAAATACTTTCCTGAAAAAAAAATCACATTATTGTAAGATGATCTATAAAAAGGTATTTGGAGAATTTTAGGACTGATTTAACTGTGCCATCTCAAGCACTTAAATTTGCCCTTCCCAAACCTTTAGAAAAAGTCTGATTTTCCAGTCTCAGAGAAAGCCAGTGCTGAGCAAGGTGTTTGGTGGAGATGAGTAAAGTATTTTAAAGATTTGCTTTCATCAACTGAAAATCTGGTCCACATGGAGTGTAAAACCTTTGACTCCTGCTTGGATCAACAGAAACAAATACAGATTTGGTCCGCCAGTTCTCAGACTGGGGGGTGGGGTGGGAAACAGACATGAGACATCATCATTCCTGATCCTGGATAAGGGAAGCCCCACACTGTTTAAGAAAAGGAGCAACAGCCATATGAAAATATCCAAAAAGCCCAGGAGAAAATTCGTTTCATTTTAAACTCTTACTGACACTGTGGAGTTTGTTTTCCCCATATAAATCCATTACATGTCTCCAACTAAGCTTTGCTGCACAAGACAAGCTCTCCCTGCACAGGCAGAGCTTCCCACCAGGGAACTGCCACGGAAACTGGAGAAGGGGGAACATCATCAGCATCTTACCTGGGCCAAAAAAGACTTCTTAATCAGTTCCCCCAGAAAAGCCAGTGACTGAGGAGAGACCCGGGAGCAGGCTCACCTTGTGAGGTCTGTGCTTTTCGTGAACGTGTAGAATATGGATTCTCAGCCTGTCTCTTTTTTCGAAGGATCGGTCACAAAGGTGACAAGGAAATTTGCGGTCCCCCTGATCCACGCAGCGAGTGTACTTGAGGTGTTTGTCCCGATAGTACTTGTAGGCAAAAACCTTGCCGCAGCGCTCACACTTGAAGCTGTCCCCGGCTTCTGTACAGCAGAAACGATTACACCACACGTGCCATTACACCACGGCAAAAGGGACTCAGTTCAAATCTGCATCCTTGTCAGAGCTGGGACCCAACGGGGAATTTTAAGCCTCTGGGAGGGTGATAACGGTAAACGGATGCTGGCAATATCATCAACAAAATACACGTCAGGTCTCCTAAGCGTTCGCACAGCTCCTTTCCAACGGAGGGGAACAAACCAGAGCCCTTAGTCTGCTAAAATGACTGGCTTCAGCTACTGACTTCAGCAAAGACAGGATTTCATCCTTGTAACTCTATAAACAGTTAAGAGAACATGTGAAAACCCAGTGCAGAGTCCCACATAAAAGCGTCTCCCCTTATGGAACCATTGCCAGGTATTTATCAAGCACTGTCCGTAAATTTTACCTCCCATCCCCAAAAGAAAATAATTTTGCACACCTTTATCATCGTTTTCAATTACGTATCGAACAAAATAAGACGTTTATTTGGTTTTCTTTTGTATTTCAAACCGTTTGCAACCACTGAGTTTAGGAACAACCCTGGAAAAGATATTTCTGTATCCTTTTCTATCTTTAATAAAAGTAACTTCGGCTTAAACTTCAAGATGAAACGAACGATTTAGTTAGTCTGAATTAAACGCTTCCAGACAACAGGTACAAAAATTTCCATTCCAAATTTCCATGCCAATTTGCTTCTCTCCCCTTCTGCTGCACCTGGCCGATACATCCCTTCCCCGGTCCAAATCTTCCCGCATTGGCACAAATCTCCACAAGTTTCACTTTGAAGAACGTCATACTTTCAGCACATTACAAGCAGAAGTATCCCACCCCACTCTCTGGGAGTAAGTGCATTTGCCACTTCTTTTGCAAGCAATATCGACACTGTGGGATTTGAACGACTTCAGCCTGCCCCATTTACTGAGAACGTTACTTGCATGAAAAATATCACTTAGTCAGGTGTGCAATCCTAAGATGAAACAGGACCAAAAAAGGAATGACCCCGAAAAGCCCTTCTCCCCAAAACGGCACCTCTGAACAACGGCGCTGCGGGGCCGAGGCAAGCTCAGCCCAGGACGACCAGATGTTTTACAATCGTCAGACCAACACTTTTAACTCCCTGAGGAACCGCGAACTGAGACCAAGCTGTAGGGGCAGCAAGGGGCGCCTCTTGCTCCCCGAGGCCGGCAGACCTCGGTGTAAGCCACGGGCTCCCCGGCACCGAGGGGAAGATGCTGCTTTGGGGTGGTGGAAGTTGCAGGAAGGGGCGGCCGACGGTCGGCTCCCCGAGAGGGCGGGCAGATCCGGGGGACCGGGGCTGCGGGACCATCGCCATCTCGAGCACCCCCGCGGCAGGGCCGGTCACCCCCCCACCGGCTCACCGCAGGGTCTGGCAAATTTTTAAAATAATACACAGCTGGAAAAAGGTGATGTCTGTGTTTCTTTACCTCCCTTCGTGCCAATCTAATCCCTGCCAGGTACACGTCTATTGGGAAAAAGGGGCAGCAACCCCCCAGGGGTCGCTGGAAGGCTCACCTTCGGGGTGCTGCGGAGGCTTCCCTTCCGACATGGCCTTCAAGCTTATGGGGATGCCCAGGAACTGCACGTAGCAATCACCGTACCACACCAGCAGCTCCTGTTTAGGGAAGATTTCCCTGCAGGTCTCGTAGAAGATTTCTCCCTGACACTGGATAGCCGTCAGATTCTGCTCCTCGGGGAACCTGGCACAGTTCACCAGAGACATCCAGTTGCCAGCGGCGCCCTTCCCGTCTATGAAATGGCTCAAGCGACCGTATTCAAAGATCTGCAGAGCAGAGAGAACAGGATCAGTTTTGACCAACCCATCCCGCACGACCCGCTCGCACCAGTCCCACCACCCACACTGGGTTGAATCCCTCTTGCAGGCTACGGGAGAGGGGCGGCCGAAAGCCTCGCCCCGACCCCGCACCGGGGGTGCAGGGTGAGCCCAGCGATGCCTCCGCTACCTCCCACATCAGCGAGTTGTCGTCGTAAGTCTTGATCTCGCTGGTGTTGATCACTTTGCCTTGGAAAGGGCCGAAGCGGACTCCTTTGGGGATGGGGTCCGTGCAGAAGACTCCGAGGTGAGACACGTCCCCGTAGGCCAACCGCAACACCGAGAGCCCTGCGGAGGACAGGGCGCTGAGTGCGGAGGACAGGGCGCTGAGTGCGGAGGACAGGGCGCTGAGTGCGGGAGGCCCAGCGCGGACGCGGGCGGTCCCGGGCCCTACCTTCGGGTAACTGCAGCGAGTCCCAGTCGAGCGGCGAGGCGGAGGAGTCCGCAGCGCCTGCAGAAGAAGGACCCCTTCTTCAGCCCAGCAGTGACTCTAAAGGAGCGGGTCCTGCCTCCCCGACAGAAGCCGCATCACTCCCCGGCCTTTTCAGGGTGTGGGCTCATAACACAGGAAAATAACGGGGAAAAGAAATCCAACGTGCCCCCGGCGATGGCCCTTTAGCCTGGCTGTCGCGGGATAGCCTGCACCCCTCTAGGAGCCGACCTGAACCCCCCCCGCACACCCGGCTGCAGGCACATCCCTGCCTCCCGGTGCCACCCAGTGTTCCTCTCGCCGCCGTCGAAGACCACGTTACCCGAGCTGGCGGGGGACACCCGGAGCCCCGAGATGGCGTGGAGGCTCCCGGTCGGCTGGTTGCTCCGGAGCGCCCCGTATAGCACCGCGTTGAGCTCCTTCTCGGTGAAGCGGTACCGGCAGCTCTGCCCCGCTGCCCCGTCAGCCCCCGGGCTACGGGCAGTCCTTAGCAGGGGGCTCGGATAGGGCGGCGACGGCGATCCCAAGGCCCCCGTCCCGCGGGCCGAGCCCTCGCTGGGAGGGAAAGGAACCGGCACCTTGGTGTAGAAGGGCAAGGGGAGGCTAGGGAAAGGCTCGGCTGGCAGGGGAGGCGGCTGGGTCAGGAAAGCGGGGACCCTGCTGAAGGAGAAGGAGGGCAGAGGCGGGGAGGAGGGAACCAGCCCGCCCAGGGGTTTCAGGGGCTGGAAGAAGTCGGGGGCCGCCTCGAAGTACTGGGCGGGAGGGAGGAAAGAGGGATAGTAGGAGGTGAGGCCAGGGCTCATCCCGAGCGCGTCTCCGCCGTCTCGGGGGACCGACTCGCCGGACAGGGACAGAGCCATGTCAGGACGAGCCGTCTGGGAAGGGAAAGCGGGACCTGTCGGGAAACGGAGGGGCAGACAGTTGGGTGCTGCCAGCGCGGGGTCCCGCTGCGGGGCGGGGCGGGACGGAGTCGCGGGAGTCTCTGCTCTCTGCCCTCCGCTGCCAGGCGCCGTCGAGGCGAGCGGGCCGACGGCTGCCGGCCCCCTGCGGCTATATCGGCCTGCGTAGCGGGGTGGGGGGGCAGGAGGGGGCGGGCGGGCGAGTTGGGGGGCTCCTTCCCCAGGGCGGAGCCGCAGTTACTCAGGGAGTGGCCGGGCTGCTCCTCTCCACGTCGGGGTCGGAGGGGGAGGCGAGGGCGGGGAGTCCAGCCTTCCGCACCTTCCCTGCCGCCGGCTCTGCCCTCCGCCTCGACAAGCCCCGGCCGAGGGCCAGGCCGTAGCCCGGGGGGCTCAGCCTCTCGCCAGAGCAGGAGGTCGCAGTGTGGGGCTGATGCTCGCAGAGGATGACCACATGCTGCCGGAGGCGAGGGCCCTGCGGGCAGGACCCACGGCCCCCACACAGTGTTTCGGGGTTTGCAGGTGTGGGTTTTGGTTATGGAAAGGCAAAAAACACCTCTGAAACTCCGATGACTGGAACACGCAGCAGCAGCACGTTCTCAGTCCCTGTGGGTTTCACGGCCACTGCTGAGGTGCTTTTACACTAGCTTGGGGCTGCCTGTTGGGTGCATGGCAGAACACTGGGCTCTTGCTGGGGTTTTCAGGGTTCCATGACCAGGCCTACACTAGGACCTGCCCAGAGTAGGACCAGGGAAAGACATCTGGCCCCAGACTTGTGCGAAAGTGTGGGGTGATCTCCTTCTGCAGGATTTCATCCTGGTTTTTATGGTGTTTCTCCTTCCAGGTGGCTACATGGCACAATTGCTATGAAAAGGGGACTTGAAAGGGGCTGAAGGATCACAGGGGCCCAGGTGTGCTCTTTGTCATTGCAGGATGTCATCCCTGCTGGTGCAGGGAGATGGAGAAATTTTTAGTCCAGGACAAAACCCCATACAGCATGGGTTACTGCAGAGCTCCCTCTTGAGTAGCTCATTCCAGCCTGGGTGACACTACACATACAGGTGTGGAGGGAAGGGACAGGGTATGCTCTGCTGCGCTGCAGAGAGCTTGGGGACTTGCACACAAAGGTCTCTCTCAGAGAAAGGCAGCATAGGGTTTCCTGAGGCAAAGCATAGCATGAGCAAACTGCACACAGATTCAGCTGGAGGTTTAAATGCTATTTCAGTGGATATAGGTGCTGTACTTTTTAATTTATTAATGCTCCATGTGATCCTCTGTAAAGCATTGCCTTCATCCCAAAGAACAGATGCACTAGGAAGCACTTGAAGCAGCCTCAGATAGAGAAAACCATGGCTCCAGACACAGCCACTGCCTGCACTTGACTAGAGGTGAAGCCATCCTTTCAAACCTTATTTCTTATCTGGTCTCAGTGAAGTGCTCTGAAACAGTGAGTTTGAGAAAGAATCACTGTCTGCCCCTGGGGAATGAGGGTGTTTAGCCCACACTCCCTCAGGGACTGTAATTCCTACCAAACAGAAGTTTTGATTTGCAACCTCCCCTTATTTTTTTTTTTTTTTTCACTCAGGACATAAACACTAAAACAGCAAACACAAGCACACAACACTATTGAGAGAGACCCAGAACTGATCCAGGCTCCCTCAGCTTTCAAGACCCGTTCCATAGCCAGCCCAGCATATCTCTGTCCCCAAAGTTGAGTAGGAACATTTATGTATTTTTCATTAAATGTATTGAGCTAATTCTCCTACCTACAACCTCATTCTGCATCCTAACCTCTGTTTGTAAGACAAAAGTACTGAATACACCAGAGAAGCTAAGAGGCACAGGAGTCTTAGGGACAAGGTAGGAATGCAGCTTTCAGAAACTTGCTTAAGGTAGCACCTTAGCTAAAATCGCCTGTTTTTTTTTGTTGTCTTCTTTTTTTTTTATTATTTTAAATTTCTTCTGCGTTGTTCCAAACCTCTGTTATTTGTAAGACAGAATTGATGTTGTAGTGCTTTAGGAAACAGTTTCAGGCAGGCAGTTTAACATGCCTTTATTGATGCAACAGTAGCATAAAAGTAGTACCACCATTATTCTGATTTTCAGGAATAAATCTTTGAGCTCTGATTGCACAGAAAAGTTTGAGTTACATTCAGAATTAAAGTGTTGACAGATAATCTACGCTGTGTCCAGGTATCAGAGGACAGGAAAAGGGAAAGGGACTTGTGGAGAAGACATGCTCAGATTGGAGATTCATGAGAAATGAATACAAAGGCAATGTGAAATTTTTAAATTCTCATCAATAGTTAATTGTAGAGATGCCCAGAAATAAAATGTTTCCTTTTTCTAGAAGCCTGATGACACACAGCCCAGGAAAGGAAAAGGGCTTGAGGCACTCTTGTCGCTATACTGCAGATAAATCTTTAGAGGCTTTAACATCCCCATAGGGGTTAAAGGCATTTATTGCATAAAAAAGTCCCAACCGTGGGGAGAGATGTGGGGGACGCAGAAGTGCAGCCGCTTAGAGGCACCCCCAGCAGTCTGGCCAGCCCTGTGGACCCCCTCTCTGTTTTTATGTCTTGTTACAAAGTAACCAGAGCAGTCTATTGGCCTCCCTTCCCTGCTGAACGATTTTAGAATGTATTCATTCTCTGCAGTGATGTGGGGATGCACAATTAAAACAAGCACCAAGGGACATCCTGTGCAGGCTGCTTGCATAGCATTCACTCGCCTAAGTGACCTAAGTGTTGTCACCTAAGTGACCTAAATGTTATATCCTTGGATTGATCCAGATGTCTTGACCCAAAAAATTGCATCTCAATCCCTTCTAACCTCCTCTCAGTTTGGACACGAGCTCTTCATCATCACTCTTACCCCCACTCTACATCTTCCTTACTCCAGGCTTAAACTGGTCTGCCTCCTGCACATTCCCAAACACACAGGTTACACCTACAAGCAGCCCCTTCCTCCTCCAAAGATCACAGCAGACCCTGATGCCCAGCTTCCCACGTGTGGGCTCCCTGTGCCCCAGCACTTACACTGACAACCACCTGTGGCATGGACATGGGAATCCCAGTGATGGCACCAGATGGAAGTAACCTGAATTGCAATTTAGATCAGGTCAGAGCAGACACGGGTTATTGCTATGGCTATAAGAGAGCACAGGGAGCAGAAGGGCAACTAGCTCTGCTGATGGACTATTAAAAAATGGGAAAACACATTAAAGTGTTTCAGCTTTCCTTTTCCAGTACTAGTTGTATTTTTAGGTACATCAGCATTTTAATGATGTTACAATTAATTCTGTGACTTCACTAAAGCAATCCATTGCTCTCACCCCATTCCAAGTACACTGAGAATAGACAGTCAACTGAAAAATACTGCACAAGAAAAGGTTGGGGAAGTCAGTGTAAAATTTGCAGCAAACCAATCCTGTCATAGAGATGCAATCCTTTTCCCTTTGGTGGGGCAGGCCACTGAGTGGGCACATGAGCAAGGGCAGGAATATCTGTTGTTCTCATTTCTCAAAGAAACTTTGCCCACAGTTTGCAGGGAGCTGAATAAATTAGTCCAGTCAGGATCACTGTGAGTCCTTCCAGCATCTTGAGTAGTTGTAGTATGAAGCAATAAAGTCAAGTATAGCCTGAAACTTGGATGAGAGACATTTTTTAAGCAATAGAAGAGTTATCCCACCTCTCCTGCACTATCTTCTCAGGAACATCTCCTAGGGAGAAATTCCTGGGCACAACACAGAAGTTGGAGCAGTTTCATTGATTTCCTTCTACGACAGGGTAACCCACCTAGTTAATCTAGCAAAGCCAGTAGATGTAATAATTTTGGACTTCAGCAAAGCTTTTGATACTGTTTCTCACAGTAGCCTTCTGGACAAAATGTCTGGCATACAGCTGAAAACTGTGTTATGTGATGGGTGAGCAACTGGCTCACAGGTCAGGCACATAGAGTTACAGTGAATGGGTTAACTTCAGGTTGGTGTTTGGTCACTAGTGGGGTTCCACAGGGCTCCATACTTGGCTCAGTGCTCTTCAACATCTTCAGTAATGACCTGGATGCAGGACTAGAAGGAATATAAGTAAATTTCCTGATGACACTAAATTAGGAGGAGCCTTTGACTCCCTCGAGGGCAGAGAGGCCCTGCAGAGAGACCTCAACAAGTTAGAGAGATGGGCAATCACCAAGTGTATAAAGTTTAACAAGGGCAAGTGCTGGATTCTGCACCTGGGATGGAACAACCCTGGTTGTGTGTATAGACCAGGGAATGAGAAACTGAAAAGCAGTGCTGCAGAAGGCGACCTGGGGGCCCTGGTCCTGGTCGATGGCAAGGCGAATGTGAGTCAGCAGTGCCCTGGCAGCCAGAAGGGCCAACCGTGTCCCAGTGTGCATTAAACACAGCATCACCAGCTGGTCAAAGGAGGTGGTTGTTCCACTCTACTCTGCACTGGTGCAGCCTCACCTTGAATACTGTGTGCATTTTGGGCACCACAGTATAAAAAAGGCATTAAGTTATTAGAGAGTGTCCAAAGGAGGGCCATGAGGATGGTGAAGGGTCTGGAGGAGAAGCCTTATGAGGAGTGACTAAGGCAATTTGGTTTGTTCAGCCTGGAGGAGACTGAAGGGAGAACTCATTGCAGTCTTCAACATCCTTATGAAGCAAAGTGGAGGGACAGGTATTGGATCTCTTCACTCTCATGTTTAGTGACAGGACTTGAGGAAATGTCATGAAGCTGTCAGGGGAGGTTTAGGTTAGGTATCAGGAAAAGGCTTTTCACTCAAAGGGTGGTTGAGCACTGAAACAGGCTCCCCAGGGAAGTGGTCACATCACCAAGCCTGTACAAGTTCAAGAAGTGTTTGGACAATGCTCTCATGTACATGGTGTGATTCTTGGCATGTCCTGTGCAGGGCCAGGAGTTGGACTCAATGATCCTGATGGGTTGCTTTCAAGTTGGCAT